CTATTTCTTTACTGACCCGCTCAGATCTGTAAATATTGGTAGGTAATTAAACATTAAATATCCAGATTTATGTTTTACCAGGACAGATCTGTAAATATTGGTAGGTAATTAAACATTAATTATCCAGATTTATGTTTTACCCGATCAGATCTGTAAATATTGGTAGGTAATTAAACTTTAAATATCCAGATTTATGTTTTACCAGGACAGATCTGTAAATATTGGTAGGTAATTAAACATTAATTATCCAGATTTATGTTTTACCAGGACAGATCTGTAAATATTGGTAGGTAATTAAACATTAATTATCTAGATTTACATTTTACCCAGTCAGATCTGTAAATATTGGTACATAATTAAACATTAAATATCCAGATTTATGTTTTACCCAGTCAGATCTGTAAATATTGGTAGGTAATTAAACATTAATTATCCAGATTTATGTTTTACCCAGTCAGATCTGTAAATATTGGTAGGTAATTAAACATTAATTATCCAGATTTATGTTTTACCCAGGACAGATCTGTAAATATTGGTAGGTAATTAAACATTAATTATCCAGATTTATATTCTTTAAAATGCTTTAGACAATTGGACAACATTCCTGTGATTGCAGGTTCTTTTACCAGATCTGTGTTTTTACACATTTTATCTAATCCAGGAGACCCCAACGTGGGGGCCATGGGTCCCTGGGAGCCCACAAGAAGGTGTCAGAGGGACTGCATTGAACACACAGTACTCAATATCTATAGATTAATTGGGGGGATCTTCTGGGGGGCTTTGTGCTGAGTAAGTTTGGGAACCCATGATCTAATCATTTATACAAAGATGATAGTTATACTCAAATTTTAAAAACGGTATTTTGGTAAAGAAAAAGTGTCTGTCTTCTTTTTATAGGCAGATTCATTAAAAAAATATTCATTAATGAGTAATATTAGAAGTATTTGTTCACAACAATACTTAAACAATGTTTCTGTGATTTTTTTTAGAAGCCTAATACTATATGATTGACCCTTCTGTCAGATACTTGTACATAGTAATGTCTATATATTTCTGTCAGTCTATTTTGTCTGAGATCTGAGTGATTTTTCTATCAATTTCTTTTAAAGGTCTGAAACCTATTTAAGTGACTTTTGTTAGTCTTGTGCTGTAGGATTCTGATACCTGAGTGACTTTTCTCTCAATTTTTTCTTTCAGGAGTCTGAAACCTATTTGAGTGACTCCGAAATGTTTAAACTGGATGACGCTTTATCCGAGGCTTTTCGCAGTCAAGTGCGAAAGAGCAATAAAAAACCTTCAAAAGAGGAACAAGCATTATTGCACTTTAGAGTCAGGTGTTGTACTTATATTAAGCACTTCATTATTTATATTTTCTTATTTGTTGTTAACTCCCTCAACACGGGCTCGGTCAATTTGACTGATCACGTGACATCTTTGTACTTGTTTAAAGTCTTTATAGATTTAATACTTCTAACTTTCAATATAGTGTGTATATCGTCACGAAATTTGACAGTCTTTCGGTTCACATTATAGGCTTTCACATAAAAAAAAATAATATCTTTAGTGAAGTATTTCGGATAAACTAAAAAAAGATTTGTCCATGAATATATTGAGTATTTGTTTT